GGCACTGATAGGCAGCGCTAATGATGTGTCACGGATAGGCGGCACTGATAGACAACACTGATAGGTGGCACTTACTGGCATCGCTGCTGGGCACTGACTGGCGGCACTGATAGGCATTGACTGGCACAACCACTGGGCACTGACTGGTGGCACTGACTGGCAGCACTGCTGTGCTGCACTGGTGCACTGGTGGGGCATTGGTGGGCACAGGTGGGTGGCACTGCTGGGCACAGATAGGTGGCACTTCTGGGCACAGGTAGGTGGCACTGCTGGGTGGCACAGGTGGGTACACTGCTGGACACAGGAGGGTGCACTGCTGGGCACAGGTGGGCGGAACTGGTGGGTGGCACTGCTGGGCATCGATCATCAGGGTGCTGATCATCAGTGCCCTGATGATCGGTGCCAATCCCTGCTCTGACAAATGCCGGTTCTCGGTAGTACTTTCCTCACGCTCTGACAGCGTGAGGAAAGTCCAGCCGAGAGCCAGCAATTGCATTTCCCGGTGATCAGCGTGTCATTGGACACGGCTGATCATGTGGTAAAAGGCCGCTGTGATTGGCCTTTTACCACAATACGCGATCAGCTGTGTCCGTAGGACACAGCGATCACGGAGGTCACCGGGGGGGCACGCAAGAGAGTGCGTTCTGGGAGGACGTCATATGATGCCCTCCCAGAACTGGCCGGCCGCAGTGTAGCTGTCGGCTATCTGCGGTTGGCAAGTAGTTAAAACTCTACCCTCTCATTATTTTCTTCTCTCAAACCAACCAAAATCTTTCTCATGGGCATTTAAATTTGCAGACTGCCCTGAACCATCGGTTGTCCCAAACCTGTCCACGGTGCCAAAACCCAACAAGGGTATTCATTCTAGCCTAGACCTAAAATCCCAAAACAAATACCTACATGCTCTAAATTTTCACATAGAAACGACAAGGGCAGTTGCCTCTGAGAAAAGGGGAATACTGTCAGGGAAAACAAAGTATACCTAGGCGCACAGCTATGCGCCAGTGCCGGTTACCAGACGGACTATTTCAACTGCTGCTGCACTAGGAATCCTTGCCTTCTGGTCTACCACATTCCCTTATCTGCTGTCTCTTGTATCCTGATCCTGTTGCTGACCTGATCTGTCCTGACTTCGCTTGAACTCCGCCTTGATTCTGACGATGCCCTGCCTGCTCCCCCCTGCTATCTACCTATGATTACTGACTTCTGGCTTGAACTTCGACTATCCACTTACCTGCTCCCTGTACCTGATAGATCCCGACCTGGCTTGTCTGACTCTGCTTCTTCTCCAGCCTGTGCCTTGCTATCCGCAGTTTCTGCTAGAACCTGCCAGCCGGTGCTCCTGCTAATCTGCATCCTCCACTCACCTGCATCCTGGTCGTCCGGAGTACCCACCTGTCAGCTGACATTATAGACTTACCAGGCACTAGTACCACTTCGGGTTCCCGTGCTCTCTGTCTGCTCTATCAGAAGCAACGAGCAGGCGGTGCAAGCGGATACCCTCATCTCCACGTCAGGCTCCCCTACCTGGTACTTAACAAATACTAGGCATCAGTAAACATCCAAGAAGCTTAGAGTATTCACAAAGGTAATTGAGCTTCTTCGTCCCATGGCTATTCAGATAACATGGTACCCAGGCAACCTTCTCCCAATGGCCTCCTCTTCCCATCAACTGGATGCTAACATCCAAAAGGACTATTTAGATGCTTCAGACCTTCGGTTGGGTAATCACATTTCAAAAGTCTGCTCTCCAACCTTCCTATCACCTAGAATACTTAGATCTCACTCTGGACACAGCCCAAGATAAGGTCTTTCTTCCAGAAAGCAAAATTTTCTCTATAGCATGTCATGCTCAGATCTTAAGATCAAAGACACATCCCTCCATGAGATTCTCTGGGAGTTCAGGGCTTCATGGTAGTCTCATTTGAGGAAGTACCCTTTACTCCATTCCTTTCAAGGCTTTTCCAACACAACATTTTGTTGGCCTGGAAAAAGCTTGCTCCGCCTCTCAACCTGCCTTTGTGCCTCTCCAGCCAAGCAAGTAACTCCCTAGCATGGTGAATTTCCAGTTCAGCCTTGACAAGGGGGAAGTCATTTATATTGCATCCGTGGAGGGTGAAAACAAATGCCAGCCTCACAGGCTGAGGAGCAGTGTTCCAGTCCCTCAAAGTTCAGGGAACATAGCCACCCAAGGAAGCTCAGCTCCTTGTCAACATCCTGAAGCTCAGAGTGATAAAACTAGCTCTGAATCACTGGACCCCCTTCTTCAGAGTCACCCGATTAGGGTACAATCACTCAATGCCATGACTGTGGCTTATATCAACTACCAAAGGGGTAAAAGGATTTAGGCAGCCTTAAAGGAATAAGTCTGATCATCTCACGGACAGAAACACACTGTGTAGCCCCCTCTGCTGTTCACATCACATCCTTTACTCCAGGTATAACTATCATGTGTAGCCAAGTCTAAGGAACCTCTAGCACTGAGATTGGATGTTCTCATAATTCCCTGAACCCTATTCCATTTAATATAAATCATTCCTCCAGTGCAAAATCTGCCTTAACTGCTCTGCAAAATACAGCAAAGGAAGAAAACGGTGGTTTTCATTGCACCAAACTGGCCCATAAGAACCTGGTACACATACAGACATACTCTAGGAGATGATCCCTGCCTTTTCCAAGCAGGCTAGACCTTCTTGCTCTGGGCCCCCTTTTTCATTCTGCTTCTCAGTCACTGGCTTAAATGGTATAGCTGTTGAAACCCACGTCTTGAAGGACAGGGGTGTTTATAGTTCTGTTATTCCCATATTGTCCAGAACCAAAAAAGTGACTTCCAGAAAAAAAGATGCTATCACCACTGGAAATCCTTTTTTGTCTGGTCTGAACACAGGCATTTCAATTCCAGCTATTTCTATGTGCCTCATATCTTGGCCTTCCTATAGTCGGGATTTGATGAGAATTTGATGTTAAGCACTCTTAAAGGGTACGTTCACCTTTTATAACATGTTACTGCTGCAGCTGCCCCTACGAACTCCCCCCCCCTCCAAGTCCTCGCTGTGACAGCAGGCTGGGGATCTTTTCCACGTGCCTACTGTCACATTTAAAAAACGTCCCAAAAGACCGCGTCATTCAATCAAAGAGTTCTGTGAATGGTAAACTACAACTACTGCCAGCCTTTTCAGCTAACGGCTTGTAGCACTCAAGGTAGTTCATTGATGCTTCCTTTCATTTTTTAACTGCCTGCCCATACGAGGTACGAGCAGACAGCTTACACTGACATATATTATATAGGTAACATGAGCTTAGTAGTACATTCCAGTGGACTGTACCACTAAGCACTGGTTACCTATATAATGTAGATCTTACTTACCCAGAGGGGTAGTATACATAATTTTTCCAGCAGCTGAGAATTCTCTTTAAAACTCCTCAGCCGCTGATTAATTATTTGATCTAACCTACACTGAAAGTCTGCAGAAGCTCTGCATAGCACCCATGATTCTAAAGGTCAAGACACCTCCAAGATTACATAGTTAGTCTGGCTGAAAAAAAGACAAAAATCCATCCAGTTCAACCATTTAAAAAAAAAAGTTATAATCCTACACCCACAGTTGATCCAGAGGAAGACAAAAAAACCCCAGCAAAGCATGATCCAATTTGCTCCTGCAGGGGAAAGAAATCCTTCCTGATCCCCCGAGAGGCAATCAGATATTCCCTGGATCAACTTTACCTATAAATGTTAGTATCGAGTTATATTCTGTGTATCCAAGAAAGAATCCAGGCCTTTTTTAAAGCACTCCACTGAGCTGGCCAGAACCAACTCTTGAGGGAGTCTATTCCACATTTTCACAGCTCTCACTGTGAAGAAACCTTTCCATGTTTGAAGATTAAATTTCTTTTCCTCCAGATGTAAAGCGTGCCCCCTTGTCCTCTGTGATGACCTCAGGGTGAATAACTCTACACCGAGTTCACTATATGAACCACTGATGTATTTATACATGTTGATCATATCCCCCATTAATCTCCTCTTCTCAAGAGAGAATAAATTCCGTTCCTCTAATCTTTCCTCATAGCTGAGCTCCTCCATGCCTCTTATCAGTTTGGTTGCCCTTCTCTGTACTTTCTCCAGTTCCCCAATGTTCTTTTTGTGAATTGGTGCCCAAAACTTAACTGCATATTCCAGATGAGGTGTTACTAATGATTTGTACCGGGGAAATATGATATCTCTCTCTCTGGAGTCTATACCTCTTTTAATACAAGAGAGGATTTTGCTCGCTTTAGAACCCACAGCTTGGCATTGCATGCCATTATTAAGCTTGTGATATACCAGAACCCCCAGATCCTTCTCCACCATTGATTCCCCAGTTGTACCCCCCAGTATGTATGATTCATGCATATTCTTAGCCCCCAAGTGCAGAACCTTACATTTATCAACATTAAACCTCATTTGCCACATAGTTGCCCAATTACACAGAGCATTGAGGTCGGCTTGTAAATTGGAGACATCCTGTAAGGACGTTATTCCACTGCACAGCTTGGTGTCATCTGCAAAGACTGAAATGGGATTTTTAATCCCAGACCCTATATTGTTTATAAATATATTAAAAAGTAAGGGTCCCAACACTGAACCTTGGGGTACACCACTGACAACCCTAGACCATTCAGAGTATGAATCATTAACCACTACTCTCTGAATACGATCTTTTAGCCAGTTTTCTATCCATTTACATACAGATTTTTCCAAGCCTGTAGACTTTACCTTACACATTAGCCATGTGTGGGGAACTGTGGCAAACGCTTTTGCTAAATCCAAGTATACCACGTCCACCACCACCCCTTTGTCCAAATATACCACGTCCACCGCCACCCCTCTGTCCAAGTATACCACGTCCATCGCCACCCCTCTGTCCAAGTATACCACGTCCACCGCCACCCCCTCTGTCCAAGTATACCACGTCCATCGCCACCCCTCTGTCCAAGTATACCACGTCCACCACCACCCCTTTGTCCAAATATACCACGTCCACCGCCACCCCTCTGTCCAAGTATACCACGTCCATCGCCACCCCTCTGTCCAAGTATACCACGTCCACCGCCACCCCTCTGTCCAAGTATACTACGTCCACCGCCACCCCTCTGTCCAAGTATACTACGTCTACCGCCACCCCTCTGTCCAAGTATACTACGTCTACCGCCACCCCTCTGTCCAAGTATACCACGTCCACCACCACCCCCTCTGTCCAAGTATACCACGTCCATCGCCACCCCTCTGTCCAAGTATACCACGTCCACCGCCACCCCTCTGTCCAAGTATACCACGTCTACCGCCACCCCTCTGTCCAAGTATACTACGTCTACCGCTACCCCTCTGTCCAAGTATACTACGTCTACCGCCACCCCTCTGTCCAAGTATACTACGTCTACCGCCACCCCTCTGTCCAAGTATACCACGTCCACCGCCACCCACCCCTCTGTCCAAGTATACCACGTCTACCCGCCACCCCTCTGTCCAAGTATACTACGTCTACCGCCGCCCCCCTCTGTCCAAGTATACTACGTCTACCGCCACCCCTCTGTCCAAGTATACCACGTCCACCGCCACCCCTCTGTCCAAGTATACCACGTCTACCGCCACCCCCTCTGTCCAAGTATACTACGTCTACCGCCACCCCTCTGTCCAAGTATACTACGTCTACCGCCACCCCTCTGTCCAAGTATACCACGTCCACCGCCACCCATCTGTCCAAGTATACCACGTCCACCGCCACCCCTCTGTCCAAGTATACTACGTCCACCGCCACCCCTCTGTCCAAGTATACTACGTCTACCGCCACCCCTCTGTCCAAGTATACTACGTCTACCGTCACCCCTCTGTCCAAGTATACTACGTCTACCACCACCCCTCTGTCCAAGTATACTACGTCTACCGCCACCCCTCTGTCCAAGTATACCACATCCACCGCCACCCCCTATGTCCAAGTATACCACATCCACCGCCACCCCCTATGTCCAAGTATACCACGTCCACCGCCACCCATCTGTCCAAGTATACCACGTCCACCGCCACCCCTCTGTCCAAGTATACTACGTCTACCGCCACCCCTCTGTCCAAGTATACTACGTCCACCGCCACCCCTCTGTCCAAGTATACTACGTCTACCGCCACCCCTCTGTCCAAGTATACTACGTCTACCGCCACCCCTCTGTCCAAGTATACTACGTCTACCGCCACCCCTCTGTCCAAGTATACCACATCCACCGCCACCCCTATGTCCAAGTATACCACATCCACCGCCACCCCTATGTCCAAGTATACTACATCCACCGCCACCCATCTGTCCAAGTATACCACGTCCACTGCCACCCCTCTGTCCAAGTATACCACATCCACAACCACCCCTCTGTCCAAGGTTTTGTTCACCCCCTCATAAAAAGAAATCAGATTTGTTTGACAACTTCTGTCTTTCATGAATCCATGCTGTCTGTTGCTTAAAATATTTTTTTCCAGCAAGAACTCATCTATGTGGTCTTTTATTAAACTCTCCAGTATCTTCCCACTATAGAAGTTAAACTAACATGACTATAATTACTTGGTAAAGATTTTGACCCCTTTTTGAATATAGGCACTGCATTAGTCTTACAACAATCCAGTGGTACTATGCCATACAATAAATAGAAACAATGGCTTTGAAATGACAGAGCTCAATTCTTTAAGGATTCGTGGGTGTATGCCATCCGGTCCAGGTGCTTTATTCACCTTTATTCTGTCTAAATATTGCTGGATCATATCAATTGTGAGCCAATGTGGATTAGAGTTTTTCCTCACATCAGAATACCCCCCCCCCCCACATCAGAGTCCGCAGAGTTCCCCCCTTACACTACGGGAGCTAGGAACCCTGAATTAAGGGGGAATGCTGGGAACTCTCATGTAAGGATGGACACAAATGACCAAGAAACATTACATCAGAGTTCCCCTTTATACCAAAATCTGCAGACTTCCCCCTTATATCAGTGCCCTCCTCATCCCCTAGTGCCCCCGTAACTTAGGGTCCCCAGAGTTTCTCCTCACATCAGAGCCCCCCCCCCCACATCAGAACCTGCAGAGATGCCCCTTACATTGGGGAGATAGGAACCCTGATTTAAGGGGGTATGCTGGGAACTCTGATGTAAAGAGGGACACAAAACCAACCAAGAAACCTTACATCAGAGTTCCCCTTTATACCAGAATCTGCAGACTTTCCTCTTCTATCAGTGTCCTCCTCACCCCCTAGTCCCCCCTTAACTTACGGTCCACAGAGTTTTCTTCACATCAGAGCCCCCCTCCCCCCCACATCAGAGTCCATAGATTTCCCCCCTTACACTGGGGGAGCTAGGAACCCTGATTTAAGGGGGAATGCTGGGAACTCTCATGTAAGGAGGGACACAAATGACCAAGAAACCTTATATCAGAGATCCCCTTTATACCAGAATTTGCAGACTTTCCCCTCATATCAGTGTCCTCACCCCTAGTGCCCCCTTGACTTAGGGTCCCCAGAGTTTTTCCTCACATCAGAGTCCCCATGCCCCCCCCCCCCCCCCCCAAATCAGAGTTCCCCCTTTACGCTGGGGGCGCTAGGAACCCTAATTTAAGGGAGAATGCTGGGAACTCTGATGTAAGGAGGAACACAAATGACCAAGAAACCTTAAATCAGAGTTCCCCTTTATACCAGAATCTGCAAACTTTCCCCTTATATCAGTGTCCTCCTCACCCCCTAGCCCCCCCCTTAACTTAGAGTCCTCAGAGTTTCTCCTCTAATCAGAGTCCCCATGCCCCCCCCCCACATCAGAGTTCCCCCCTTACGCTGGGGGTGCTAGGAACCCTAATTTAAGGGAGAATGCTGGGAACTCTGATGTAAGGAGGAACACAAATGACCAAGAAACCTTAAATCAGAGTTCCCCTTTATACCAGAATCTGCAAACTTTCCCCTTATATCAGTGTCCTCCTCACCCCCTAGCCCCCCTTAACTTAGAGTCCTCAGAGTTTCTCCTCTAATCAGAGTCCCACATGCCCCCCCCCCCACATCAGAGTTCCCCCTTTACGCTGGGGGTGCTAGGAACCCTAATTTAAGGGAGAATGCTGGGAACTCTGATGTAAGGAGGGAACACAAATGACCAAGAAACCTTAATCAGAGTTCCCCTTTATACCAGAATCTGCAGACTTTTCCCCTTATATCAGTGTCCTCCTCACCCCCTAGCCCCCCCTTAACTTAGAGTCCTCAGAGTTTCTCCTCTAATCAGAGTCCCCCCCCCCCCTAGTCAGAGTTCCCCCTTTACGCTGGGGGTGCTAGGAACCTAATTTAAGGGAGAATGCTGGGAACTCTGATGTAAGGAGGGACACAAATGAGAAACCTTACATCAGAGACCCCTTTATACCAGAATCTGCAGAGTCCTTCTATCAGTGTCCTCCTCACCCCCTAGTCCCCCCTTAACTTAGAGTCCCTCAGAGTTTCTCCTCTAATCAGAGTCCCCATGCCTCCCCCCCACATCAGAGAGTTCCCCCTTACACTGGGGGCGCTAGAAACTCTGATTTAAGGGAGAATGCTGGGAACACAGAGTTACCCTTTATACCAGAATCTGCAGATTTTCCCCTTATATCAGTGTCCTCCTCACTCCCTAGTGCCCCCTTGACATAGGGTCCACAGAGTTCCTCCTCACATCCGAGTCCCCACGGTCCCCCACATGAGTCCACAGAGTTCTCCCCTTACACTGGGGGAGCTAGGAACCCTAATTTAAGGGAGAATGCTGGGAACTCTCATGTAAGGAGGGACACAAATGACCAGGAAACCTTACATCAGAGTTCCCCTTTATACCAGAATCTGCAGACTTTCTCCTTCTATCAGTGTCTTCCTCACCCCCTAGTCCCCCCTTAACTTAGGGTCCCCAGAGTTTCTCCTCACATCAGAGCCCCCATGCCCCCACCCCACCACCACCACATCAGAGTCCGCAGAGTGCCCCCTTACACTAGAGGCGCTAGGAACCTTGATTTAAGGGAGAATGCTGGGAACTCTCATGTAAGGAGGAACACAAATGACCAGGAAACCTTACATCAGAGTTCCCCTTTATACCAGAATCTGCAGACTTTCTCCTTCTATCAGTGTCTTCCTCACTCCCCTCCTCCATCTGTACCCACCCCATGCAGGCTGTAGGACACTGCGGGCTGCCCACGTGAACATCTACTCGCTCTGTCCTTGATGCGTGCTGTGTGAATGTGACATCTAGCCAGCAGAGGGCGCACTATAAACACATATACGTGTGGTCATGGGCTCGCCTGTGTGAATGTGACATCAGGCCAGCAGAGGGCGCACTATAAGCACATACACGCGCTCTGTCAGGGGCTTTTCCTGTGTGCCTGTGACCTCCGGAAGGTAGATGTCGCTCCTCGGAACAGTGACCCCCATCTACCCAAAGTGTCTCTTCTCACTGGTGTCGGACGTAGCGCGCGTCACCGGCAGTCACAACAAGCGGGCCTGGATCGTGCGTGTCCCCGCCGCCTGCGTGTGTAGAGAGTCCTCGGTGCACCACGTGACAGAAACACCGCCAACATGCCGCGGATTATGATAAAGGGCGGGGTGTGGAGGAACACCGAGGTGAGGAGAGGGCTAGAGCGGTCAGGTGTGCTGTTAGCTGGTTACCCTGGTGATGGGTGCCGAGTCTTCTCCCTGTATACTGTGTGGACTCCCCCCTGGGGATGGGTGCCGAGTCTTCTCCCTCTATACTGTGTGGACTCCCCCCTGGGGATGGGTGCCGAGTCTTCTCCCTCTATACTGTGTGGACTCCCCCCTGGGGATGGGTGCCGAGTCTTCTCCCTGTATACTGTGTGGACTCCCCCCTGGGGATGGGTGCCGAGTCTTCTCCCTCTATACTGTGTGGACTCCCCCCCTGGGGATGGGTGCCGAGTCTTCTCCCTCTATACTGTGTGGACTCCCCCCTGGGGATGGGTGCCGAGTCTTCTCCCTGTATACTGTGTGGACTCCCCCCTGGGGATGGGTGCCGAGTCTTCTCCCTGTATGGACTCCCCCCCTGGGGATGGGTGCCGAGTCTTCTCCCTGTGTGGACTCCCCCCTGGGGATGGGTGCCGAGTCTTCTCCCTGTATGGACTCCCCCCTGGGGATGGGTGCCGAGTCTTCTCCCTGTATGGACTCCCCCCTGGTGATGGGGTGCCGAGTCTTCTCCCTGTATACTGTGTGGAATCCCCCCTGGGGATGGGTGCCGAGTCTTCTCCCTGTATACTGTGTGGACTCCCCCCTGGGGATGGGTGCCGAGTCTTTCTCCCTGTGTGGACTCCCCCCCCTGGGGATGGGTGCCGAGTCTTCTCCCTGTGTGGACTCCCCCCTGGGGATGGGTGCCGAGTCTTCTCCCTGTGTGGACTCCCCCCTGGGGATGGGTGCCGAGTCTTCTCCCTGTGTGGACTCCCCCCTGGGGATGGGTGCCGAGTCTTCTCCCTGTATGGACTCCCCCCTGGGGATGGGTGCCGAGTCTTCTCCCTGTGTGGACTCCCCCCTGGGGATGGGTGCCGAGTCTTCTCCCTGTGTGTGGACTCCCCCCTGGGGATGGGTGCCGAGTCTTCTCCCTGTATGGACTCCCCCCTGGGGATGGGTGCCGAGTCTTCTCCCTGTATGGACTGATGGGTGGAGTCTTCTCCCTCCTGTAACTCCCCCCTGGGGATGGGTGCCGAGTCTTCTCCCTGTATGGACTCCCCCCTGGGGATGGGTGCCGAGTCTTCTCCCTGTGTGGACTCCCCCTGGGGATGGGTGCCGAGTCTTCTCCCTGGTGGAACTCCCCCCGATGGGTGCCGAGTCTTCTCCCTGTGTGGACTCCCCCCTGGGGATGGGTGCCGAGTCTTCTCCCTGTGTGGACTCCCCCCCTGGGGATGGGTGCCGAGTCTTCTCCCTGTGTGGACTCCCCCCTGGGGTGGGTGCCGAGTCTTCTCCCTGTGTGGACTCCCCCCTGGGGATGGGTGCCGAGTCTTCTCCCTGTATGGACTCCCCCCTGGGGATGGGTGCCGAGTCTTCTCCCTGTGTGGACTCCCCCCTGGGGATGGGTGCCGAGTCTTCTCCCCCTGTGTGTGGACTCCCCCCTGGGGATGGGTGCCGAGTCTTCTCCCTGTGTGGATCCCCCCTGGGGGATGGGTGCCGAGTCTTCTCCCTGTGTGGACCCCCCCCTGGGGATGGGTGCCGAGTCTTCTCCCCTGTGTGGACTCCCCCCTGGGGATGGGTGCCGAGTCTTCCCTCCCTGTGTGGACTCCCCCCTGGGGATGGGTGCCGAGTCTTCTCCCTGTATGGACCCCCCCTGGGGATGGGTGCCGAGTCTTCTCCCTGTGTATGGACCCCCCCCTGGGGATGGGTGCCGAGTCTTCTCCCTGTATGGACTCCCCCCTGGGGATGGGTGCCGAGTCTTCTCCCTGTATGGACTCCCCCCTGGGGATGGGTGCCGAGTCTTCTCCCTGTATGGACTCCCCCCTGGGGATGGGTGCCGAGTCTTCTCCCTGTATGGACTCCCCCCTGGGGATGGGTGCCGATGGGTCTTCTCCCTGTATGGACTCCCCCCTGGGGATGGGTGCCGAGTCTTCTCCCTGTATGGACTCCCCCCTGGGGATGGGTGCCGAGTCTTCTCCCTGTATGGACTCCCCCCTGGGGATGGGTGCCGAGTCTTCTCCCTGTGTATGGACTCCCCCCTGGGGATGGGTGCCGAGTCTTCTCCCTGTATGGACTCCCCCCCTGGGGATGGGTGCCGAGTCTTCTCCCTGTATGGACCCCCCCTGGGGATGGGTGCCGAGTCTTCTCCCTGTATGGACCCCCCCCTGGGGATGGGTGCCGAGTCTTCTCCCTGTATGGACCCCCCCCCTGGGGATGGGTGCCGAGTCTTCTCCCTGTATGGACTCCCCCCTGGGGATGGGTGCCGAGTCTTCTCCCTGTATGGACTCCCCCCTGGGGATGGGTGCCGAGTGGACTCCCCCCTGGGGATGGGTGCCGAGTCTTCTCCCTGTATGGACTGGGGATGGGTGCCGAGTCTTCTCCTCTGTATGGACTCCCCCCTGGGGATGGGTGCCGAGTCTTCTCCCTGTATGGACTCCCCCCTGGGGATGGGTGCCGAGTCTTCTCCCTCTATACTGTGTGGAACTCCCCCCTGGGGATGGGTGCCGAGTCTTCTCCCTGTATGGACTCCCCCCTGGGGATGGGTGCCGAGTCTTCTCCCTCTATACTGTGTGGAATCCCCCCTGGGGATGGTGGGTGCCGAGTCTTCTCCCCATATACTGTGTGGACTCCCCCCTGGGGATGGGTGCCGAGTCTTCTCCCTGTGTGGACTCCCCCCTGGGGATGGGTGCCGAGTCTTCTCCCTGTAAATGGACTCCCCCCTGGGGATGGGTGCCGAGTCTTCTCCCTGTGTGGACTCCCCCCTGGGGGATGGGTGCCGAGTCTTCTCCCTGTGTGGAATCCCCCCTGGGGATGGGTGCCGAGTCTTCTCCCTGTATGGACTCCCCCCTGGGGATGGGTGCCGAGTCTTCTCCCCTATACTGTGTGGACTCCCCCCTGGGGATGGGTGCCGAGTCTTCTCCCTGTGTGGACTCCCCCCTGGGGATGGGTGCCGAGTCTTCTCCCTGTGTGGACTCCCCCCTGGGGATGGGTGCCGAGTCTTCTCCCTGTGTGTGGACCCCCCCCCTGGGGATGGGTGCCGAGTCTTCTCCCTGTGTGGACTCCCCCCTGGGGATGGGTGCCGAGTCTTCTCCCTGTGTGGACCCCCCCCTGGGATGGGTGCCGAGTCTTCTCCCTGTGTGGGACCCCCCCCTGGGATGGGTGCCGAGTCTTCTCCCTGTGTGGACTCCCCCCCTGGGGATGGGTGCCGAGTCTTCTCCCTGTGTGGACTCCCCCCTGGGATGGGGGTGCCGAGTCTTCTCCCTGTGTGGACCCCCCCCTGTATGGAGAGTCTTCTCCCCCCCTGGGGATGGGTGCCGAGTCTTCTCCCTGTATGGACTCCCCCCTGGGGTGATGGGTGCCGAGTCTTCTCCCTGTATGGACCCCCCCCCTGGGGATGGGTGGACCCCCCCCTGGGGATGGGTGCCTTCTCCCTGTATGGACTCCCCCCTGGGGATGGGTGCCGAGTCTTCTCCCTGTATGGACTCCCCCCTGGGGATGGGTGCCGAGTCTTCTCCCTGTATGGACTCCCCCTGGTGATGGGTGCCGAGTCTTCTCCCTGTATGGACTCCCCCCTGGGGATGGGTGCCGAGTCTTCTCCCTGTATGGACTCCCCCCTGGGGATGGGTGCCGAGTCTTCTCCCTGTATGGACTCCCCCCTGGGGATGGGTGCCGAGTCTTCTCCCTGTATGGACTCCCCCTGGGGGATGGGTGCCGAGTCTTCTCCCTGTATGGACTCCCCCCTGGGGATGGGTGCCGAGTCTTCTCCCTGTATGGACCCCCCCTGGGGATGGGTGCCGAGTCTTCTCCCTGTATGGACCCCCCCTGGGGATGGGTGCCGAGTCTTCTCCCTGTATGGACCCCCCCTGGGGATGGGTGCCGAGTCTTCTCCCTGTATGGACTCCCCCCTGGGGATGGGTGCCGAGTCTTCTCCCTGTATGGACTCCCCCCTGGGGATGGGTGCCGAGTCTTCTCCCTGTATGGACTCCCCCCTGGGGATGGGTGCCGAGTTTTCTCCCTGTATGGACTCCCCCCTGGGGATGGGTGCCGAGTTTTCTCCCTCTATACTGTGTGGAATCCCCCCTGGGGATGGGTGCCGAGTTTTTCTCCCTCTATACTGTGTGGAATCCCCCCTGGGAATGGCACTGATGCAGGAGAGCCACAACTGTCTATAGTGGTTGCTATTACTGGAAATGCTCATTGCCTGGCTCTTCTGAAGATTCTCCGGTCTCAGTGCTGTTTGGCAGGCAGGGCCAGGACAGGTCTGCAGATCAGAAAGTCAGGCTCCAATCACATTACGGCATTGTGAATCACGGGCAGAATCACCGCAATCTCCAAACGTTTAAATGATAAATCACAGAACCGTGTGTTCAGGAGCCATTCTTTGTAATGGTACATTAAAATGCGCTGTGTGTTTTCCACGCAGTAAGTCGCAGCAATCCGTGTTGTTCAAAAGTAGTTCTTGAACTGTGGGCTACATGCTTTGTGCAGTCCTGCATTGATAAACTGAGCTTCAATCGCAGTAAATCGCAGTGTTTTGAGGTGGCAGTAAAATGAATGGCTCTTGAACACCTGGTTCTGCGATATTTTTTTTTTTTTTTTTTTTTTTTTATGCAGAGCGTTTAAATCAAGGGCAGAAATGCGGCAATTCTGCCCCGATTCTCAGCGCTATAGTAGGCCCCTTTCACATGAGTGGATCAATCAGGTCCGTCTGTCCGTTTTTCGAGTGGCCCCGATCGGACGCTGCATCAATGTCTATGTAGCAGCGGGTGTAAATGGACATGTTGGTTTACTCCCACCCACATCCAAACCAATCCTGTCTGCTAAAAACAAACGGGTGTGGATCTGTTCTCCATCCGCCGATCAGATGACAGTCACATGGAAACAGCCCATAGGGGACAGCGGGCTGCGTTTGCTCTGCAGAAGTGGAGCGACTTGAACCTGTCATCCACTTG